AACCACTACCTAAATTATTGACGCTAATACACCGCCCCAAGCCACGCATACGAGATGTAATCTTCACTTTCACAGAAGTGTGGCAGCTTGGGCTAGTAAGTATGACGCGACGATAGTTAAAGCGCGAAAACAGAACGACGACAAAGAGACAAGAAGGACACGAAGGACACGAGCGCTAACCTCCAACTCGGAAGTTAGCGCTCGTGTCCTTCTTGTCTCTTTGTCGTCGTTCCGCTCTCGCGCTATAACTATCGTCTTCACTTTCAGTGACAAATCAGTACCATCAGACAAGAGCACATGATGACGGTATTACATCCAAACAAGAACAAGCCCGTATTGACCTTCCCTATCCTGCTTTGCCCATCGGACTTTTCCCTTACTGCCATCAACGTTTTCGGAAAACGTCGCTGCCATCAGCGACAAATCGGAGCCCAAGCGACACATACACCTATAGCTCGTATTAACGGTCGTATGCGAAACAGTGTCAACCTCATAAGCGTGCGTACGTACGAAGGGGACAGGGGGGTGATCGCTCCCTCAGTCACATAAGAATGGGAGCGCCAAGTCTGCTATACATTGACATAATAGGGAGGTGGCATACTCACTCGAAGGGGGAGGGGGGTGTATGTTAGCCTATGAAATGAAATAAAGAGTGGAAAAGCGCTGCGCTCAGCCCCCCTTCCCCCCTCCCTGAAAGGAAGCCCTGCGAACGCTTATGGTCAACCTCGACTCATTTAGGATGAAGCTATATAAGCTGCTTACCAGGCGGCTCATGTCGGTGGTTGGGTCAGCTCTGGATTGTAGCGGGGCAGCGTTGGAAAGCCACTTTTTATAACGAGACCCGTGGAGTGGCCGGCCCACGCGCTGCAAGCGAGAGGACTGCAGCGGGCCGTGCTACCCAGGCCGGAGAGGGAACCGGGCGTACGGTGACTCGTAGTGCCACGTCCGGTGCAACAACCCTCTCGAAAGCGAAATCACCCGGGAACGAGCGCAGAGCGGAGGCAGCGGTGAGTGGACCAAGTAAGTGTACACTGGGCTTGCACGAGATGTGGTAGGGGGCAATGCTGCTGGTCTTCGGCCATGACCATGCGTGCGGCTGGAGGCCATACGGAGACGGCAGATTTCGCAGAAAAACCAACCTCCGTGATTTGCGCCAGGTCTCCTGCAGTGTGAAAGCAGACGACCCGTGTGCATGCAGTCACCGAGCAAGTAAGAGAGCGAGCGGAAACAGGTGACGAGACGATTAAGAAAAACTCTTAACGACGAAAAGGGGGGGCAAACTTCGTGGAGTCAAGATGGCGCCCGACTCGCGCTACTCCGGGTGAGAAAAAAGTGGGTGAGAAAAATGAACGGACAGTTACGAGAGCAGAAGCGAAGCGAGCACAGGCTTCAAGTGAAGACGAATAAACCAGGAGTTACTAGGGCTACGTGTCGAGATAGCTTACGTACCAAATGGGGGGGGGGGGGGGGGGGGGGAGAGAAGCGTAGAGGTCACCTTTAAATAGTTCCTTGCTGAGCTTTTTTTTTTTTGCCGAATTCTCACCTACGGGTCACTCTTAAGTTCAATGCTGCGCCTGAAGAAGTGGCGCTCGCTCATTAAGCCGTGTGGTTCCTCCTGAATCAACGGGCGACGAGAGCATCGGGGGCACTGTTTTCCATGCACAAACGGGGCGTGGCTAAAACGCACGGCGGATAATAAATGAGATCGCTGCATGCGCAGTTCGTTCGGAGAGGCTCTGTTGCAAATGACCGCTTTGAAGGTCAAGAAACGTTTTCAAGGTACAAACAAGCCAGATTATGACTTTTTCACGATATAAAGCTGCTTATTCACGTGCAAAAAAAAAAAAACACGCTAATGTCGGATCTCTAATCAGGGTGCGTTGCGTGTACGCACGTGACGCAAGTTTATGTGGCTTTCACAAGCCTAAAAACCTGTAACAAAGATCGAAAATTCAATAAAGGTCAAGTTTACTCATTAGTATTTTTTATTTGTGTACAGGCAGAGTAAACCTATTACAAGTATCTCATTTCCTTTCATAATGAAATAAATTCTTCAGATAAAAGAAGCGTATAAAACCAGACCTGTTGACACCAGCATTCGTTTTTATAACTGCTGCGCTTCAAAGGATGTTTTGATGATTTCAGCGACTCCCCCCGTCACATGGAGGGATACGGCTCAGACAGCGACCATGCAAGGCAGAAGCAGGAGATGCATTTCAGTATAGAAGCGGACGCTTGCGCTTTCCTTTGCATGTGAAATCGTTTCCTGGTGATAAAAGGGAAATCAACACGAACACGTGGCGCTGACGCCTACGCATGCCTCCAGTTTTATCAACGTCGCAGACATCTTCCACACATTGGATACATGTGTGACAACGTCCGCATTTAGTAAGCTATGTCACGCTGTCAGCTTGCCGATTCTTCTGTAATGCATTAACAGCTTTTTCGAGCAGTGGTCGCCTGATAGTCAGAACGTGTGTTTAGAAATTACTCCATTTTCAACTAAAATAAAAAAAACTGACTGACAATTTTCAATGTCACAATACAAATACTCAAAGCTGTTTAGCAGCCTTTTCTTGCTGATTTCTCCCAGCTTCATTATAATGCATCAGCAACTGAGAAGCCACAACGAGCATGTGAAGCTACGCGCTCGCACAGCCATAAATAATTAGGTAGGAACATATTTAACACAATGAAGTATAATACAAGAGAATCGCAACGTTTCACAGCGCGTGGATTGAGCCCGATGAAAGAGTCTGCCTCACTGTATTTGGAGCAAAGGCCCTTAGTCAGGCTTTCAGCCGTTTGCCTTCGCTCCGTTTTCTGTACTGGCACAGAAACAAGTAAAGAAAGAAGAAGAAGACACACAGATCGCCGAACATAAACTGGCTTTTATTTTTCTGCCACGGCAATGTACATGCAATTTAGACAGGAAAAAGAACAAAAAGTTAAGACGAGCTATACAAAAATGCAGACAAAGAAACAGCAACCCATCGTCGATATCACATGTTCTCCGATAAAAGTTCGTTTTTTTTGCTCCAAAAACCAAACTAAGCACATTTTTTCACGTTTCAAGATTTTATTAGCCTTTTTTTAGGATTTTCTTACATGCGAGCACATGTTTGTGACTGAAAATAGGCAGGCACCCAAAATCCCGACCATGAATTCTGAAGTGCCCACCGATAGCCATATGTCTACATAGTACCTGCGTTTCTTAAGACGTTCATTAAGGCACCGTCACATGTGGTGGACCTATTCACTGAGACAAGATAGTGGTATGCAATAGAGTACGCCTTCTTCAGACGCAATAAAGCTATCATTATGCTTGGTGGGGCAAACGTTTCAGGGTTTTGCCTCGAAATACAATTGACGGCAAATATTAAGAAGCTTCTTGGGGATTGAACTAACATTATTATAATGGTTGTTATTTTAATTATATATATATATATATATATATATATATATAATGTGGGGTCTAACGTTCTAAAACCACCATATGCTTATGAGAGATGCTGTAGTGGAAGGCTCCGGAAATTACGACCACCTGGGATTCTTCAACGAGCACCCAAATCTGAGCACACAAATTACAACACCCCTGCGATGTCATCTAGTCGAGAAAAAAAAAAAAACTGGCCGTGGAAAGATGCACGAACGCGAGAGCCAGCAGAACCGCTCTCCACGGGCTTGAGATCTTCCGTATGCCCCGAATTCACCGTTGGCTGCGGAAACTATACACCGAGCGCGTTAGCGCTGGCGCACCAGTTTATTTTGCGGGTGCACTCGAGTAGCTCACCGCGGAAGTGCCGATACTGGCCGGGATCGCGGCACGGGACACCAACAGAGTTGGAGTCGCTCCACGTTATCTACAGCTAGACATACGAAATGACTATAAGAACTAATCAGTGGAGTAGCTGCCTGTTGCGACGACCTCAAAAGGGGGTGCACTATCAAAAATTCATCCAGAACTGCTCCCTAAAGCGAGTAGCGGCATTTCAAAGAAGACGGTAGATTCGCAGAAGCCAGCCACCACTTCTAAAGAGTTTTATTACACTGATATTGTATATAATCTAGTTGTTATACTGAATGTAGCCGACGTTTCGTGCTATGAGAGGCAAAACAAGCCCGCACTTCGGAATTACACTCTTTTATGTGGAAAGCTGTTGTGCTCCGTTTCTTTCAAGGAACCACTGGTGGCTGCCTTCGGTGTCTATACTAATGTTGTCTAACGCAACTTTGCATTTATGTCCCCACCATTAATGGCCACTTTTCGGGCTGCGCGTGCAAGCTTTTTGCTATACTTGAACTACCATGTCACCTCACATGCTCATTTTCTATGGTCATGACTTCAAAACGATGACTTTCAAATGTTTTTCTTGGATTTCATGCGTCACGCGTATAGCTAATGTTGCACTGCGACTTACGCGGGACTCCAATGATCCTAGCAAGCACGTTTGCGCATGTGCAAAAAGCCAACGCGTTTTATGGAAGACTGGATTAATATTGGATGTGCTTGCCGGAATTGCTGTTTGTATTTGTTGCCTATAGGATGAAGGATTCTCGCGAATTATTCAGTACAATCGTTGCCGGCTTGATTGTTGCCTTCTTCACCACCATGACCATGATAGCATAGGTATCGACGGTGATATCGAAAATTTAAACACGGTTTCTGGTTGCCTTCAATATTAGGGCCGATAAGTCTTGCAAAACGGCAATGATATCTCATGAGTGAGGTACTTTATAGGACGACTAACTCTCACGCGCCAACCAATGTCATTTCTTATTATTTCTTATTTCTCCGGCCACGCCGGAGAGATCGGCACACGCGTTCGTGGAGCGAAGCAGTAGAGGACGAAGAGAGCGGATAGGGATTCGTAATAATGAGAATTTTGGTTCACGACATACACTTTACGCTGAGCTAGGACAACTTTTCTGTTAAAATAATCGGGATGCTGCTGAGCCGCTCAGCTAGTCCAACAAAAGCACTTGAAAAGAAATGACCGTTTAAGCAAAGTGTCAGGTCTGCGCTGTTTTTAATAGCAATGCTCCTTAAGCTAGCCGTGACTTATGCGGCCTTCAGGTACGTGCCATCTGACCTACCGGAAAACTGTCATCATCATCATCACGAATTTACTTGCCACGGAAACTGTTGGCATTTCCACTTCTCAGCACTGGTCAACTAAAAACGAACAAAAAGACAACCCTAACAAATGGCTGTGAAGCAACGGCTGGTGAGCTGAAGACCCCGAGTACGTACAAGAGAATACTAGGTAGTGAAAAGGGCAACGGCCGCTCCAAGGAAACCCTGAACCAATGGAAGGCCTACGCCAACAACGACCTGCCCGTAAACTTACGAGAAGTGCGAACGCTGGGTTTCAGCGCGAACTTCTGTTTATGTAGTCTGTACGTCCATGTGGCGTCTGGGACTGTATGTGGTCCTACTGTCCACGCCCAGAAACAACCTTTCATTACCTATAACACTCAAAAGTAACCAATTTAGTTTTCAGAACTATCCTGCTACGCTGTTACAAACCTCTCACAGCCTTTGTAAGCGTAGCCAATCATTTTGCTTCGGAAAGAAAACATGGATATAGAAATGCAGCGCTCCGCTCAGAAGACAATCATTTCTTTTCAGCGAATCATGACTGATCCGAAACGTTCGATGAAAATGCAGAAATTCTTCTTCATCGTGATTACAGCTGCAGGGCTCTTGAAAAGAAGGAAGTGAACCAGGGTTGTCTTTCAGGTCGGCTTCGACGCTCAGAGTAGGCGCCAAACACTGGGAACCCTCTAGCATGCCATTAAAGTCAACCAGCACATAAACGAAGTGGGCATCATGAGACACCTCAACCCTAGAGTACGCATTCGTCGTGTGCAATATCGTTACCTTTGAAATGATTCGGCTGCCTCCCTGCGATAGCATACGCTCGTGAATATTTTCGATGGCCAGTTCATACCTCGCGCCCCCATGCATTCCCCTCCACGTAGGTCTATGCCTGGATTGCTTACTTAACAACTCTACGTGACAGTAAAGGTTCCAAGGTCCTCGATCAGTAACGGCGTACTGCGGGTAATCCTCTGAGGAAAGTTTTCGCATGTCTTTCAGAACAGCAACTGGCAGGTTGGTAAAGTAACCCATCTTGCGAGATGTCCTCACTGTCTCAGAACAGGACGAAGGAGATGACGTGCTTGCTTCCACTCTGTGATTATCCCGGGAAGTCTCTCGTTGCGACGAGGTCGAATGACTTGGTACTGCAACTTGAGCTGCCTCTGACGATGCAGGTGCCGCGACATCGTGCTGAATCACGGCCGACCTCGAATCACGGCTCCTGATATGGTCAGTCAGCTCATTCAGTCGACCCTGAATCCCAAGAAGCAGCTGTTCGTGGTTGGCGTCCCTCAACAGTGCCTTCAGTTCTTCGAGAGCAGCCGTCACGTCTCGAACCGTCAGTGCTCTAGATTCCGATGAGATGTTCTCTGTGAGCGCGGGAGAAGCAGGGGTACTACATCCGGCAACGTAGTGAGTTGACAGTTCCCTGTGCAGGACTTCTTCACCACATCGCATACACTCCACGGTGTGGAACGCGCATTCGTTCTCATAGTGTCGCAGCATGTCTTCCACGGCTCCCTCATACTGGCAGCCGTGTGCCTCATTCCAACAGTGTACCTACATAAGAACAAGAAAAAAAGTACAGCGTTTCCTGAGCGCCAAAGGAAATTTATAATAAGGGTACATACGAACCCGCCCAGCTAACTGTTGTTCTACACAGTCTATTCACTAAATTACCGTAATGTATTTGTACAAAGTCACAGAGCAACCTTATTGGCGTAATGGTGTATTGGAGTAACGAGGTGTCCCTGTAATGCAGGAAGACACTAAAAGATGCTAAACAGTGGTCAGAAAATAATGAAAAATTCGATATTAATCGAATATTTTCCCTATTCAAAGCATGCTGTATATTAAAGTGCACATTCGCTTTCTCGCGATAATCAGGTCATAGTCAAGTGTGTGGTTAAAGGCACGAATACTTGAGAGAGTAACAAGATTACAAATGCTACGGCATGCGGAACTCATATTCACTACATAATCCGTGACGCAGAAGGCATAAGGTAGGCGACCACTGCAGTTGCTAATGGTGAATAGGTAATCGAAAATTCAAGACAGCTATTGGCTTTATTCCTCTGTTGTTTGTACTGGGAGAACTGAACGTTCACAATTGCCTCTTATTAGCGTGTTCACATTATCACTTTCCCATACCTTGCCGCAATGAAGAGGTAATTCTCGATTAGCTCTAATTGTTAAAGTCTTTCCCCATCTGTTGACGTTTAATTTCACAATTCCCAACTTTCATTTTTGATTTTCGTAGCGCAGGCCTGGTGTCTCAGGAAGCTTTTTAGGACCACTCTGCGATACGTCTTTTCTACATTTTCTCTAAACTTCAACCTCAGTACACTTTTTTAATGGCGTGTGACTATTCATTGCATATCCCACAACACAATAGAACTACTAGTTTAGAAGTGTGGCAGCTTGGGCTAGTTGGTATGACATGACGATAGGTAGACCGCGCGAACAAAACGACGACACAGAGACAGGTCCTCCGTGTCCTTCGTATCTCTGTGTCGTCGTTCTGTTCTCGCGCAATAACAATCGTCGGAACTACTAACTTTCTTTGCTCAACGGTTTTCTTGTTGACACAGGAAGCACAATTTGAACACAGGGAGTACGATTGAAATGTAACACAGGAAGTGCAATTTGGTTTTATGGTTTACGTCGGTTTGTTTCGGATGCCTAAACGGATCGCTGGTTTGTACTTCCGATAGCAGCGCAACATCGTCCCTCAAAGTAAAATATACTCGATTTGGGCGCGGCTTTCTTGTTCTGTGCATTCGACGCCATCGCTGCCATTTGTGCTCTCTGGTTCCTATTTCAATCGAGATATCGCGAGAGCGTCACTACGCGTACGCTCCCGCCTCGTAACGTTTACGCACGCCGCGTTTTTTTTTTTTTTTTTGGCGTACGCGCTCATCCATGGAGTAGATACGTTACGTACTGCGCCTGCGCACTTTTCTCTCTTAGCCACGTTACGTACGTAGGCTCGTTTACGTACGCCCAACTAAAAGTAGAGAGTTTTAGCACTGCGTACGCTACGTACGTTGCGTACGTAAGGACGCCACGTTCTGCGTAGTGAGCATGCGCAGACCGCAACGCGCACGTATCGAATTACGTACGCAGCCGCTACGTACACACGCATGAGATGCGCGCGTGCGTACGTCTGAGGTGATCGCGCCGCTCTCGAAGAAGTTCGCGACAGCGCGAGACTTCGTTTTGCAAAATGGCGGCATCGAAGGCAACACGGAGGAAGGAAAAAGGTAAGGAGAGGGCATGTCCAGCCGGCGCAGGGCGTAAAAAGTGTGGCGGAAATGACATCATCGCGGCCATATTCACTACGCACAATGGCGGCGTTGCTATGGTTACGTGTTGCGCAGTGGAGCTGGTCTAGCAGTGAGCGGCCGCGGCTGGCGGCGGAATGTGTGCCTCCCCAGGTCTCGTGCTGAGCCGCGGCGGACAGTATCTGTGCTGTGCCGCGTTATTGGTTACGCAGTGTTCTCCTGGCTGTTACATTACTTTTAGCAACGTTTACAAATCCCTTTGTCCATCACGGGGTTTCAATAGTGCGTAGAACAAGTGCATATCCATGTGTCGTGCGGCGGATGACGCGGATCAAGCAGTTAGTGTTCAGCGAAATTGCGTTGGGCACCATGACGAAGCTGAATGACGATGAACACCTTGCAGGTCAGTGACGGTTGAGCAGGGCTCCTGCTTGTGACAACGGACGGCGCTGTTGAGCCCAGCAAGACGCCGTGAGGACCATGTGCACAAACGTAGTTTCGTGTTGTGTGTGTACAGTAACAACTTGCATGTGCGTATTAAAACACCTTTTATGTTCCGCTTGGTACACTCTCCACCAGCATTGCATGTAATCTCAACATAACAGCAACCACGTTCAACTGTCACTAGCACCGTGCTCAGTCACCACGGTCGCAGAATGCTGACGCCGGTGATTTTCGCGCGGAACACGGACACAGTGGCAGGACGCTGCGTCGGCCGCGTGGCGGAATGCAACCGTAGAGGGTGCATGACCGATCGCGTTGTCTGTACAGTTGCTGAATTAATGACGTGAAAGCACTCGCCGTTGTCAGTGAATCTAGCGCGCGTTCTCTCGTAGTTGCTTCGTTGTCGGCGAGCTGTTACTCCCTGTTATTACTCAGATGAAGTGATTTCGCTGAAGGTGTCCCGCTGGCTCAGAGTGATGAGCCCAGTTCCATTAGTTTCGGATCGTCGCGACACATGCGCTGCGCAGCCCACGTGCTTTCCGAGCCGGAGAGGGAGTCGCGCCTTCTGCTTCGCATTCATATGTAAACAAGAGAGGAGAGTTTGCCTAGTCAATATGGCCGACTTCCGGCTTCATCGCGGCTTCACAACGAGTGACGTTAGGGCCTCTCCTTACCTTTCCTTCCTCCGTGGAAGGCAAGCACCGACCGGCTCTGTGACTTAAAATATGGCCATAATCTGGCTATAACACTTGGATTGGCTCACATTGGCTGTCAACAACACGTGCTTCTATTTTGATCTACCAGATGGCGCAACACGCTTCACGCTCGTTACGTGCGCGGCTACTACGGCGTACTAAAAGCCGATTAGTGGCAAACGACGCCACGTAACGCAAGGCGCTTGCGTGATGCGTACGTAGCACCATTCCGCAGTACTAAAACTCTCTAGTGTGTATTGATGTGTAAAGTAAGACTGGTGCACTCCAACGCTGCAATAGCCAAGCCGCACCACCCTGCGTCGCTTTGCGTTGATGCATGGACGTGCCAGAAGCACTGGCCCTCCGTCGAGTAGTCCCATGCATGTTACGTCGTGCCCAGCCTAATTGTGTACGAGGCTGCACGTGAATTTGACATTCGGAATCACGAGTTTCATAACGTTGAGTTCAAAAACATCCTGCAATGACATCTTGCCAGAAACGTGAATGAACTGTTGCATATTGTGTCCAGGACGAGGAGCGACATTATCGTCATTGGGGATTAGAGCAGTGCATTGGGGATAAAGAAGAGGTGGTCAGGTGGGCTTCGCTATGGGCACGGCGGCTCGTCTTTTCCTCAGAAATTTTGGTGCCGAAACCCGGGATCGAACCAGGGACCTTTATATGTTGAGCGAAGAACAAGCCACCGTGCCCACAGCGAAGCCAACCCGCCCATCTCTTCTTTATTCCCAATGCACTGCTCTAATCCCCCATGATGATAACGTCGCTCCTCGTCCTCTACACAATTTGCAACATGAACAATCACATGGACACTTTACAAAGGAACGACAGACACCGCTTCCTCACCTTCAAGGCGTTGAATTTCGTGGTAGGGAAGTCAAGTACAAAGAGCTTAGTCTCCTCGAATGGCTCTTGATCCAAGGGACAGCACCCCCCACTGTAATTGGCTGCGTGGCACGATTGGCACAGAGTGTGCGCGCACGGCAGCGCCAGCATCCGCTTGGGAATCATGCGACAGAGATCGCATACGAGCTGACTGGGCACATCGTCGACAAAGCGAGTCGGTCGCCAGTTGACGCCAGCGACGGCGTGGTCGCGAAAACGGTGCACTCGTCCGAGATCCGGCATGTTTGCTCTGCACAAGCGAATGCTTCGCCGGCACAGGAGCGGCCTCGATTTCCTATCACTGAGCTAATCTCCGTTCGGTGGTCACGTGCACTTCTACTGTCGCGTAGCAACAAAGAGATATAAAACGGCCCATTCTCTTGCGATAGCGTACAGCGTATCACGTATTGTGTGTACCATTTCTCTGCAGTGCATTCATTCCGTTCATTGGTTGATTTGTGGGGTTTAACGTCCCAAAACCACCATATGATCATGAGAGACGCTGTTGTGAAGGGCTCCGGAAATTTCGACCACCTGGGGTTCTTTATCCGTTCGGTGGTGTAATGCCTTTAAATACGAAGCATTTATTAGCATACCTTCGGAACCTTTAATGTTTTTATCTATCTATCTATCTATCTATCTATCTATCTATCTATCTATCTATCTATCTATCTATCTATCTATCTATCTATCTATCTATCCATCCTACGTTGGGGTACAACCATCGTGGACAACCCTTTACAAGGCACACCCTTGGAACCAGTATACTCAAAGTACCTGCTAATTTCGAAGTATGCGCACAACTGCTCAAGATAAGCGGACGTTGATTCGGCATTTTAAGCCTGGCGCAAGGAAAAAAAGAATAAGAGCGCAGCATAGGGTACTTGCCACCTCCTTCGTACAACCCGCGGGTTTTATGTCCGCGGGTTGTAGAATGTCCGGGAAGATTTTCTTTTCTTTTTTCTTCTGGAGGTTTTGTCATGTGGTACGCCAACGAGGGCAATATTGATAAGTGAATCCAAGAGAAATAAATAGTAGATGATTAATGTTGAAGTAAACAGGGGGTTGTATATAAGTCACAATAATACAACTCGATTGATGATTGATTGATTGAGATGTGAGGTTTAACGTCCCAAAACCACCATATGATTATGAGAGACGCCGTAGATGAGGGCTCCGGAAATTTCGACCACCTGGGGTTCTTTAACGTGCACCCAAATTTGAGCACATGGGCCTACAGCATTTCCGCCTCCATCGGAAATGCAGCCGCTGCAGCCGGGATTTGAACCCGCGACCTGCGGGTCAGTAGCCGAGTAACTTGGCCACTAGACCACCACGGCGGGGCAATAACACAACTCGAAACGCCCCTTTGAACAGGTTCATGCGATTGAATATAACAGACTTCCCGCAGAGACCATAATAGCAAAACCCGTTCTCAGAAATTAATATTTGACAGACAGGCCTATATAATTTTCTAATTTTGTATGTTTTTGTACGTTTTCGTATAGCCTTTGTATATTTTTGACAGATTAGCTGGTATATTGTTTTTTTTTTCTTTTCGTGATGATCTAGCGTAACTATACGCTAGTGCACAGAAGGCATGAACTTTTGAAAGCCAGTAGACATGAGTTACAGACTTCCGTCGGTGACGACATAGCTCTTAAAAAAATCAAGCGCTGGTGAGTGAACAGAAAAGCGGGCGTACACGAAATGAGGCGCTGGATTTGTGCGCGCTTGTACGCGCCGCTTTCCGATAATTGATCTTCTCCGGATAGTCCACTTATCGGTGGTCAGCAGTTTCCGGCATGGTAGGCGCACCTTTATCAGGGTCTCTTTGTCATTTCTCATGGCCATATTTCATTATCGGCTTCCGCAGTTGTATTACACTGTTCCACATCTGGCCGTTGCTTTTACCTGAAGCAACCGATGCGGGGCGGTGCTAAGCAAAGGCTTTACGTGGGTCCAAGCTCCGGCATGGGGGAAAGAAAAGCTAGGAGAGAGCCTTGCGCGATGCGACAGAAAGAACAACAAGCGGTAGGTCATGCACGCGTCTCAAGCCACGGAGGAAGGAAAAAAAAAGAAAGTAGGGAGCATTACGTCACACGAATGAAGCCCACCGCGTCGGCCCAACACGTGATCAGAACGTCAGGGCGTGCGGTAGGCTTTAGTACTCACGTTGGCGTTCCACTTTCGAACCTCCTGTGCGAGCCGACCGGTCTGCGCCGAACAAGCATGGAGGAGGACAAGAAAAACAAGAGAGAAGGCAAGGAGGTTAACCAGGCACATGCCCGGTTTGCTACCCTACGCTGGGGAATGGAAAGGGGGCATAAAGATGACAGAGAGAGAGATAGGAAAGAGAAAGAAAGAGAGAGAAAGAAAGTATGCTTCGATTTAAAGCTACCGGGTGCCTCACCGATGACTCGGCAAGTCTTATTGCTTAGAAACCGTAATGTTCGCGACGCGCGCGTAACCAGATCGGAACGTTTTAAGATTATCTGGATGGTTCTTGGTCATTCGGCGTGCTTTGCGCAAGGCAGAACGCACAGTGTAACGGGGCGATAACAAAACACGATGAAAGAGTGTCGCATTCCCCTCACTGAAAAAAAAAAACATCACCGCGAAACTTAAACACAAGATGAAAGTTGATTTATATGTGGGGTTTAACGTCCCAAACCTAACGTAGGATTATGAGAGATGCCGTAGTGGAGGGCTGCGGAAATTTCGATCACTTGAGGTTCTTTATCGTGCATCCAAATCTGAACACACGGGCCTGCAACACAGACGTTCGATGTTAATGTAAGAAAGTAAGCATTAGGTACAAGCAATAAATCACAATAATTAAGCAACAAAAATGCAGCCCCCTTGTTCGTTTAAGGGGCCCTGTGACACATGCCAAGCGCGTTGTTTTCATTCCTTCGTCTCGAAGTGTGGAGTCATTGAGTTTCTTACAATCATACCTAGAGGGACATCTGGCGCTATTGAGCTGCTGAATGCGAGAAAATGAAGAGATATGTGAGCCTCAAACTTGACTCGGATTTGTGTACCTTGAAGACACGTCTGGCTTTACGTTAAATTATCAATTTTTTTTTACTAAAAGAGCACGTGATAAGCTATTTATTTTTTGGCATTGCACAGAAAGGTGTTTTATTTGACACTAGTACCTGCTACGTTGATGTACAATTTTACGAACCGTAAGAAATAACCAACGGCCACAAAACTTGGCAGGGGACGACAAAGCGACCATTTTTTCCACCACTTTTATGTCATATGTTTCTTTCCTTCGCCGTTTGGTTGTGCCGTCACGGTGAGTGTAGTTTTATTTTAAAATGTATTACACGTGAATGAGATCCGCCTCTAAAGATTTTGTTTTAAAGAAGCCTTATTTACGCAGTCGTGTTCGCTTTTGAGCTGAAGCCTCACTCAACAACAGCCAACGCAAGCCTCGCCGACACATATATATACCATCATTCCCAGCACTCCAAAATCGCCCCTTAAGAAATTCGCACAGACGGTGGCGCCACATTTCCTCTGGGTATTTGTACGAAAGTCTATGTGTGGAGGGCACCGACATTGGTGCGGGAGCGGCAACGCTAAAAACAAAGCTGTTATAATCTAGAGCGACATACAATGGTTAGTATTCTTATAACACAGCTGTTATAACCTTAGTTCTACAGAGGAGCCACAACGTGTGTCTCAATGAGTGACACAAAGCGGATGTTTTTGTGATCAGAATTGTGATGCTTCATCACGTGGTAGTGACGACATAGGTCGAGCGTTTTTGATTAATTCAACGCGAGTAATTGCACGTAGTATTCATATTGTCCGAGATTGGTCATGATATTATACAGTAACAATTATAAAATCACTTATTCTACTTCCTCAGACAAAAATGAATTTGTTTTTTCAATATAAGTGTAAAAACAATTCAAAAACGGCTCTATGAGCGGCTGTGCAAGCTGTGCAATAGACACCACGTTGCGGGTCATCCGGCACATCTTGTGATGCGGGCGGGGATCGGCAGCGGCCTTTGACGTCAGCGAGAGAAGGAAATGCGGAAGCGAACATTTTTTTTTTCACGTCGTCGGCAGGGGTTTAAAAGTTGCAAGGCTAAACTATCGTTACCATGCACCAGAATCAATCAATATTCTTGCGTTTATCTCAGTACTCGGCACTGCACGAATTACAATTGTACAGAGTGCAGACCAACTTTAGTGCAGACGAAAAAGCGTCACAGAATCCCACGACATGAACGACTTCAGGGCGTGCACTGCATAGTTGAGAGTTTGTAAGCCATCGTGTGGCTTCTGTCACGTGGTTCCAAACAGGACTGTGCTGTGTGCATGCTCGCGCGTTCTATGCCAAGCGCGCCACGCAGCTCAAGAATGTGGTTGGTGCTGTCCCTTGAATCAAGATCTGTTCGAGGAATGATTGCGTCAGCTATGATCTGCAACGAAAACAGCGATCGCATTTGAGGGGATAAAATGCTTTCTGGTCTTTATTTTAGAAAATAGTTCAATTACTTCTTTGGTTCCTCTGCGCATCTGCAGCCATATCAGTTTAAGGCTGGTCTTCGCATGCCGGCAAACTGTAATACTTATTAACCATCTCGGAAACACATAACAAATGAGGCAATGCATCCAGGGGGAGGTACAGAAGATCCAGTACGAGAGCATAAACCTGAGCATTGTTGGCAGTGACCGAAAGCTGCAAAAAGTTTTAGAATCGAAAGATAGTTTCTATGCACTGTGAGGGAAAAAAATGAATATATGTTAACTTTGAAGAACGTTGTAAAAAAGCAGCACGCAGGATATTCAGCTTATATTGGTAACGACCACTCGATTCCTGGGTTTACAAGATGGCGCAGCACTAACAAAAGCGCACTGTCGAATGAACATGCTCCGATGCATAGTGAGACTAAACGAACTATCTATCACACGCAATCTATATACTTAGATAGATAGATAGATAGATAGATAGATAGATAGATAGATAGATAGATAGATAGATAGATAGATAGATAGATAGATAGATAGATAGATAGATAGATAGATAGATAGATAGATAGATAGATAGATAGATAGATATGTGGCGTTGACGTCCCAAAACCACCATATGATTATAAGAGACGCCGTAGTGGAGGGCTGCTGAAATTTCGACCGACCGGGATTATTTAACGTGCACCCAAGTCTGAGCACACGGGCCTACAACATTTCCGCCTCCATCGGAAATGCAGCCGCCGCAGCC